CTACAGAGGAGAGGCCTTCAGGCAGGCTACCGCCAGGCACGAACATTACCTGGCCCTGAAAATGGGTATCACTGAGAATATGAAAGTGTTGGATGTCGGATGTGGTGTCGGTGGCCCAGCAAGAGAGATTGCCCGTTTCACTGGTTGTTCTGTCGTTGGTCTAAACAACAACGACTACCAAGTTGAAAGAGCAGAATTCTATTCCAAGAAATACAACATGACGAAACAGCTATCTTATGTGAAAGGTGATTTCATGCAAATGGACTTCGAGCCTGAAACTTTTGATGCTGTGTACGCCATTGAGGCCACTGTACACGCTCCAGTATTGGAAGGTGTTTACGGTGAGATTTACAAGGTGCTGAAACCAGGAGGAACTTTTGGAGTGTATGAGTGGGTTATGACCGATGCTTATGACGAAACAAACCCAGAACACCGTGCCATTGCCTACGGTATTGAAGTTGGTGACGGTATCCCAAAAATGTACAAGAGACAAGTTGCAGAGGATGCGTTGAAAAATGTCGGATTTGAACTAGAGTACCAGAACGACTTGGCAGACATGGACGACGATATTCCATGGTACTACCCTCTTGCAGGGCAATTGAAGTACGTCCAGACTCTGGGTGATGTATTCACCATATTCAGAACTAGTAAGATTGGTAGAAAAGTTACCACTGAAACCGTTGGACTAATGGAAAAGTTGGGATTGGCCCCCAAGGGTTCAAGACAAGTTACCAACGCATTAGAAGACGCCGCAGTTAACTTGGTTAAGGGTGGTGAACTCAAACTCTTTACACCTATGATGTTATACGTTGCCAGAAAACCTTTGGATGCCAAATAAATAGACGAAGATAAGTTTTGTAGATGCGCTAATAAAAATATTGAAGTAATTAGAGAAAGGGTAAATGTACAGTGATTGATGCAAATAATGGATAACGCTCAGTTAGTGTCAATTACTCTCACCAATCCCCAAGCAGACCCAGCAGCTATCGAACCAATAAGTACCATCTGCAGACCCTCGCTGACTCTCATCCATAGAGAACAATCTTCTCCCATTGATATGGCTGTTTTCAGGTATCCAAACCAAAACAATGTGACTCCCATAACAAGAACAGAGATTATCAATCCTGTTTGCACAATAGCCGTGAAAAAGTATGGGACCAGCGGTATGAAGCCCCCGAAAAAATATGACAATCCAATTGTTAAGGCACTAGTAACCTGCCTTCCGTCAGCAGGCTCTTCTAAACCTTTTCCGTGTCTGATAATGAAATCAATCATTGCCTTTGGAGACTTGGACAGATCCCTGATTGCTGATTCTGTTGTGCTTTCAGACATACCTATGTCAAGAAAAATATCCTCTAATTCTTCTTCTAGCAGTTCCTTGTTATTGAAAAATAACTGTTTCTCCTTTCGGACTTGAGATTTGTAAAACTCAGATTCTGACCTAGCTGCAAGGAACCCACCAAGGCCCATAGAGATGGAACCGGAAACTAACTCGGCCATACCACCAGTAATTACCAACTTGGAATCCCCCAAAGAAGACAATCCTGCTGTAAGAGCAAATGGCACTGTTAAACCGTCTGAAAGCCCAATAATAATGTCTGACATAACTCTTGGGTCAACCTTCTCAAACAGACCCCAAACGACAGTCTGGCTTTGATTATCCTCGTTAATGTTTTGTGTCTTTGTTGAATTCGACTCTATTTCACTCTCTAATCCCTGCACATCTCGGGCAGCGTAACTGGCATTACCAGTAGAACCCTCCCCTAGAAGAGGCTCATGTTGGGAATCCGATGTGTTTGATGGAAAAAGTGATAGAATCGCATTCTTTAATGTGACCACCGCCATTTTTATATGTTAAACGGTGTGGATGGTGAAGTTGGGTGGAGGTACCAATGAACTTGTTACCTTCCGTTAGATAAGTTGAAGTTTGAAAAGGAAGGGTGTGAAAATATCCTTGAAGGCAACGAATATTTTGAAATCTCCGATGAAAAATAAATGCTTTCACGTAAAGAGCACAACAGAGGTGGACAACAAAAAAAAACTTGGTCAAGCTAAGGGTTAGCAAGCTCTGTTTGTGATAATCAGGGAGAAGGTGTCAGAAAAACTATGCTTATGTAAGTGGTGTTAGGAGTCGTTAAAGCTTTCTGTTGGCCAATAGCAAGCCTGCAGATTGTCATCTTGTTTCAGTTTCCCTGTGTAGGGCACTAATCTTGTTTGTAAGACATCGGGAAAACCGTTGCGCAAGATGAGATAAAGATTGTTTTCGATGGCGAAGCGTGGTAGCCTCTTCTACCTGCTTTGGCAACATAATAAAAAAGAGTTTCAGTTGCCTAGCGAGGCTACATATGCCCAGCATAAACGAGTGTTTACATACCTTACTTAGCGCGGAGGTGTAGCCACTAAGATAACTGGAAACTCACCTATTGTCTTCATGCTGTGCTCCTCGTATTTGTCCGTTCAGGGTGTCATTTCTCATCGTGAGAAATCTGGCTGGTGACTATGCGAGATTACCCCTGGATTTTTTGATCCCGCAACGCGAACAGGAACATTGACTTTGATATGGCTAGGGTCCCTAACATGCCCAAGCTTAACAATTGGCCCCCGCCCCTGTCGTTTAGCAGGCGCCACAGAAAACTGGTTGACAGGCTTCATTTCTTTTTGAATCATTTTGGGTGACTCAAGTCTTTAGAGTCACGGGTCCCTTATCCGCATCCTTCTTCGCGTTTACTCTATTCAGTAATAGCCTACTAAGAATGTGGGGAGCCTCTAAGGTTCTGACTATAAAAACAAGCACACGACTATGCCACCGTCTTCAAAGTTGTTCCGCGGGTTTCTACTTGTTTTATGACCGTAGAGACCAATCAACTTACATATCTACAAGGTAGCATATTCGATAAAAAAAAGATGACGACATTATCTTTGAAGCAAACCGCATACGAATTTGTCGAAGGCATGACAGGCGATTACCACTACTTAAAGGAGCTTGACGCTTCAGATTCAAATCTACGATATCTCAAAGATTACAGTTTTCCAAGCTTGCAAGAGCTGAATCTTTCCAACCTATCCTACCTGAAGAGACTTGTCTCCGATGGAGATCAATTGAGCGGGCTGGAAAAGTTGACAGTTGATGGGTCCAATATCGAACTTATTGATATCAAAGGAGATGTATTGGCAAGCATATCCTGTTCGAACACAAAGGAGCTAAAAGCAATCAAAGGGGAGATGCCAGCGATCAACTATATCGATGCAGACAACTCCAACTTGGAATCCATATCCTTGTTACCATATGATGATGAAAAATTTCAGTTCAAAAGAATGTTTTTTCTACGTCTAGTCAACTGTCCAAATCTTATATCCTTTCAAAGAGGCCAGTATCCCAAGCTTCGGACTGTCGATTTGAGTAATTCGACTATACAAGTGCTTCATTCATCTCTCATAAAGCATCTTGGTGCTTTATACTTGGGCCACGCAACCATTAAAGAGTTTATAATTGTCGACGGCGACGATGAAGATCAGCTCACTCTTCGACAACTGAGAACTTTGGACTTGTCGAATTCCAACATCCCCGCAAATATGACTGATTTTTTTCTAAGACATATATTTAGAAAGAAGAGCAATCCCTGGGATAAAGAGTGGTCGTCATTGATCTGGCGATCAGTCGATACAGAAGAAGAGGTGAAAAAGGTCCAGAGTTTTGTTGAAAAGATTCCACAGCTCAAAAAACTGGACATATCCAATTCATCAAAGGCAAACTTATTGCTGTCGAATCTGGTGTCAGACGTTCCCGACTTTTGGAACAACTTACAAGATTTGGATGTCTTCAATTCCAATATTGGAAGTTTCAGCTTTTCAAAAAGCATATCGTTGATTCATGTGGGTTGCAGCGATCCCAATTCAACGGTTTTGAAAGTTGAAGACATGCCCGCCTTGAAGGCACTGGATGTCTTGGGACCCACAAACATTGAAGCTGTAAAATTATCAAATTGCATTAAACTCGAAAAGGTTGATTTCACCGGCTGCTACTCTTTGAAACACTTTGAATCAGATTCTTTGAGTCTTCTGCAATTGAAGTTCTCCAATAATTCACTGGAAACCTGGTCTCTTAATGATACCCCTATCAAAAGCATCACGCTAGAAAACAATACAGGCTTCAAAAAGCTAGAAGGGAACTTCCCGAATTTGGAAACTTTAGATATCAGTAATAGCCCTGTTGAAATCATCAATGTTCAAGATGGAAGCAAATTGAAGAAGCTCAGCATTTTGAAAACTCGAAGTGTTAAAGAGGTTCAAATTGGTAACCTTTCAGCACTACAAGAATTGCGCTATGACACCAAGGATGAACAAAATACGAACGCAATAAAGGAGTTTGCGAATAAGATCTTATCAAAGAGGGAGCCAAGCTTTACTGTAAAGGTACTCCAGAGAGTTCGCTTTGAACACCGAGGCTTATTTACAGGTGGATTCAGGTTTTTTGATAGAAAAACCGAAGAACTGGTTTGCTGCTTTAGAGATATCAACATTTCCGACAACGAGATTAACGAAAAATGCGGTATCTGTCAGAAAAACTACGAGGAGGGTCAGCAATGTCAGATTCTTTACTGTAAGCATGCTTTTCATACTGATTGTGTGGAACAGATGCTACAATTGGGCAATGATAGATGCAAGCATTGTAACGATGAAATTGACATCGCCTCAGTAGGTCTAAGTATCGATCCGTTGCCATTTAGATGGTTGTAGAGTAAGACAAGAAGGCAGGTCCATTGGTCTATAACGTGTAGTTTTAGAGCTCGAATTACTATTCATTCAACCATTGAACATTTAAAGATTAAAATGATTAAATTGCTATGATAAACTTATTTTTCTTCGTGGTAGTTATCACTATGTCTTATAAATTAATCCAGATATAATATAAAGTATTCATAATTAGAATAATGCAATGCGGTTTATGAATAAAAGGTGGCCTTTATAGTAGGCAGCGAAAAAAAATTAATAGCTTTATCGCTCTATTGGCCAAATGGTAAGGCACCCGACTCCTAATCGGGAGACTGCGGGTTCGAGTCCCGTGTAGGGCGTAATTGTTATTCTTTTTTTTCGACTTCAGCCAGACCATTATTATTTCACTTTGTAATTGAAATGTCGTATTCTCTGTGACAGTGTTGTAATACACTATATATCTACAATTTTATTCCGGATCTTCATTCGGCTCTTGATACTTTGGTGAACTTTTCTTAACAATCTCAGAACGGGTTTCCTGATTCTTACCTTTCGATAGCCCGACAAAGCCATACGATTTTACTATCTGTGTCGAAGAAGTATCGGTGTCTGGATTTACTGACGTAAAAGATGTAACACTGTTTGATTTTCTGAATGAATCGCCTCGATGTCTGTCTTGGTTTCTTGGGTGATCGTAATTTGCCCTAACTTCATCATTAGGGTGTGGATATTGAGACTGTGTAGATCTGCTAGTTTTGGGTCCAGACGGAAAATAGTTGGCATTTCTTCCATTGGAGTAATTTTGATGTTGATTATTCAAACGTCTGTCTTTTCTATAACTCTGTTGTGCGCTATGATACCCTCTGGTCGGATGAGGCTGGGGAGGCTGGAGATCGGTAGTCTTCTTTTCTTCTTTGAACCTTTTGACATCAAGCTCATGGCTCTCTTCAAAATCAGCTAATCTTTTGGTAGGAGCAGGATGTGGATGTGCCTTAAAATAGGGATGAGCCAATGCATCTATAGCATTGATTCTTTTCACGGGGTCAATTTCCAGCAGAGAAGCAAGCAGGCGGAGCCCTTCCGAACAAAGGTGTCTTCTATAATTCTGTTCCAAAGTTCTAGTGTACCGCGCAGATACATAATTATTATAACCTGGAAGCCTGTCTGCATTTGGGAACGAAGTAGGGGTCAAAGGACCACAAAGGTTGAAAATTAAATGCCCTTGATCTATCTCGGTTTTCCCTTCCAATATTGGTTTCCTTTTAAAGAGCTCGGCAAATATGCAGCCAATTCCCCATATATCCACCGAAGTAGTATAGTTCTTATCTCCTAAAACAAGTTCGGGAGGCCTATACCACCTCGTCACTACCAACCCAGTATATGACGCTATCCCAGTACCAGTAGCACTGTCATAGCCACCAGGGCCTCCATTTGGAGTGGGCTTGGGACCATAATATATTCTAGCCAATCCAAAGTCAGCAATTTTAACTATTCCCTGACTATCGATAAGAATATTGGAAGCCTTTATATCCCGATGAAAATAATGACTTTGATGAACGTAATTAATGCCCTCCAGCATCTGGTAAACAATACCTTTGATTTGACTTTGAGTTAAATGAACTCTTGGATTGTTCAAGAGACCAGTCAAGTCTGACGCCATGTACGGTGAGACTGTGTAAAATATACCCGGAGATTCTTGTTTCTCCGGCTTTTCATAAATCATATCAACAAGTTGAAGGACGTTCTTGTGTTTGAGCTTTTTGAGGATAGATACTTCTCTAAACGAGGTAATTGGAAACCCATCTTTGCTATTTAGAACCATTAGTTTTTTCAAGGCACAAACCCTTCCAGTTCTTCTTTGGAGGGCCTTGGAAACTTCTCCAAAGGTTCCTTCACCCAACTTTCCAACTATTTTGTAGTCTCGCAAGGAACTTATCCCGTAAAACCTCCTTTGAGGATAGTTTTTCTGTGGTGTGCTTCCCTGACTCATAGTTGAACTTTATGAAAAGGAAGAAGACGGGCACAGAGTGTTGAAGAGTTGGACAGTTTGGTGCTAAAGCAAAAATAAAAGAATCACTAATGAGTTTGATTTCAAGATATAGTATGGTACACGTCCTTTAAAAAATCAAGTTTAACAGAACGAACGTGATGAACAGCAACAGCTGGAGTAGGGATTGAAAAGGAGTGCTGCGCAGGATGAAACACTAGTGCGTACTTATGGGTGTTCTATGAAAGTACGATGTATAAACTTTTGGTTTTTATATATTCTAACTTTGAAAACCCCTAGCCAACATCTGACATCTAGCCAGCAATTGAAGGAAGCCTAATGATCCAAAGATTCTTTATCATTGGGAAAGCTGGTTCTCCAAGGTAAGTGATCGGGGTTCAAAGTACTACTGCAATCTTGCTCAACATAGCAGTTGAATATTTGTTACCAGAAATGACAGTTTTTTTTTGTACCATCAGCAATCTTCTAAATTGTTGCGACGACGGTTTTGTACCGAAAGTCTTCACTCCCAATCAAGTAGTTGCCTCAAAAGCATGCTAATAACTTTGGTATTCTTTTTAAGATTTTCAATCTGACACAGTCCATGAAATGTCGTCAAACAGATAAGAGAAATCAGACCAATAGTCATAGTGGTGCAAACTGACAGAATTTGGGGCAATGTACTGAAGTATTCAGTATGTCCAGTGTTAAATTGCTGAAATTGGCCGATTTTCACAATGGCTTCATTTCCATAGATATGCAGCAGATACGGGATCATCAGAATCATCGCTTTAGTTACCATTGAAAACAGGCTGTGCAACGTGGATGATCTCTCAAAATGTTTCAGCAACATCTCCAGGTCAAAGAATCCAAATGCATTCCGCAAGCTTACCATTTATAAGGTTTATTAATTTATCAGAGCGGATTCAGAGCTGCCTTGCTTCCATGCATAGAAACTTATTTTGGGCCTGCCACATAAAGGGATAAAGGGGAGTGGAGGGGACCAGTCCACTATCGATGATACCTTGCGCGATCTTCCTGCCCTTTACGGAGAGCGCAGGTGGGGAAGAACGGTTGAGAAACCGGACTAAGGATAGACCTGGCAGCAAAATTCTTTCTCTTACAATGAGATCAATGCCATGAGGAATTCCAAGAGGGAACATAGTGTATTTCAGTACATAAACTATTCCTCAGATTTACCCTCAAAGGGTTTCAAATCTTTGGTACCAGTTTCCCAGGATAAACCATCGTATGTAATAGCCTTGATAGCTTTGACAATATCTGAGACGCTGCCTCTGACTTGAGTGGTGGAGTCTCTTTCTCTCAGAGTAACCGTTCCATCAGCGATGGTATCAAAGTCAATAGTAATACCAAATGGTGTACCAAGCTCATCATTTCTAGCATATCTCTTACCGATCGATGCCCCAGAGTCGTCGACCTTGAAAGGAATCTTTTCTTTACGTAACACTTGGGAGATTTCCTTCACAATGGGCTTGAACTCGGCATTGGTTTGCAAGGGAACAAGCAACACTTTGGTTGGGGCAACAATGGGTGGTAGCTTCAACACGCATCTATCAGCATCATCGGGACGTGGGTAAAAGGCATGCTCAAAAATGGAGTAGATTATACGTCCAATACCGAAAGAAGGTTCGATCACGTTAGGAGTGTACTCTCTTATATGTTCAGTTCTAGTTCTTTTTTCGATATGAATCAGTGTATCATCCAGCTCAATCTTTTCTTCGACACCTGGTATTTCAACGAGGATCTTACCATCAGTTGACAGATCCTTCTGCAAAGTTTCTAGTTCACACTCAGTTCTAGCAAGCAACCATTTTTCAACAGCGCCAGCATTCTTTCTAAACTTTGGTCCGAATTTTTTCTTCTCAATGTCAATCTCTAGTCTTTCAACAGTAATTGGCTCTGGAAGCTTCTCTCTGACACAGAGCTTTTCATTGGTTCTTGCAGCATGTACAGATAAGTCATAAGCGGAACGATCGGCACAACCTACGCATTCAATCCAGCCATAAGAGGTATGCAGCTCCGCATCCCAACAGTCTTGGGCGTAATGTGCCATCTCATTGTCCATATGTTGTCTGAATCTCAGTCTGGAAGGATCGACACCAATAGTAATCAAAAACAGGTAGATTCTAGCAATGAAGTAGCCCAACGTTTCGTTGTCCACCATCTTATCAGCAACTGCTTCACCAATGGATTTGACGGTGCATTCTGTCTTACCTTCAATTTGGGTAGATTTAGATAAAAAGTTCAATTTGATGTCCTTGACGAGGTCAAACTTGGAATGAGATTTGTCTTCTGGATCTACGAAGTGCTCAATCTCTGCCATCAAAAATTCTCTTACTCTAAGCAGCCCTGCTCTTGGTGAAATTTCATTTCTGAATGATTTACCAATAGAAGCAGAAGCGAAAGGCATTTTCTCATTGTTGAAATCGTACAACTTGCTAAAGTTCAAGAACTGACCTTGAGCTGTCTCTGGTCGCAAGAAACCTTTCAAGTTACCAGAAGGACCAATAGCAGTTTCAAACATTAAGTTGAATTCAATAGGAGGTTCCAATGGGTCACCAGTAACAGGGTTCCCTATCTTGTGCTTGACTATCAATTCACCCATTTCTTCACCAGAATAGCCGTCAATTTTAGCCAGAATTTGATCATACTCCTCCTTTACATCATCGTCCAATTTGATAGCCTTGATTTCCTTGACCTTCTTTTTTCTCTTCTTGTCGTCTGACTTACCCTCAGAGACAACCTGACCTCTAGCTTCTTGGTCACCCTTTAATCTGGCTTCCAAAACTTCCTCAATCAAATGATCTGCTCTAAAAATTTCTCCTGTTTTCAAATCTCTGCACATCCAGTCAGAAAATTTATCAACATGACCAGATGTCTTCAAGACCTCCAATGGAGTCAGCATGGTACAATCAACTTCTAGCATATCCTCTTCTAAAATGAAGTGTTTTCTCCAAACATCGACGATATTGGCCTGTAAAGCACAACCTGGAGGACCATAATCATAAAGACCAGAAACACCACCGTAAATTTCAAAAGCTGGTGCAAAGAAGAATCTTCGTTTCAAAACGCTTTCCAATTTTTCTCTTGAAAAAGTGGTAGCTGTAGTTTCCTGCGATGTCATGTCCCTTACTTTTCTTTCCGAAACTGATTTTATAAATCTAGAATAGAATCTGTAACCTGTGAAAAGATTTTTTCTAAGCAAAGGGTTCAAAAGTGTACAGTTAAACAGTTTTGTTCTTTGCGACTAACAGCTGTCGTAGTTGACTAGAGAGGAAAAATTACCCTCAGAACTAAGTGACCAATGAGTAGAACACGACCATACAGATAAAAAGCATTCATAGTCTATCT